AACTGCTGAATGATCTCCCCCTGTCCTTATCATGACCCATGAACTACTTGTTATACTTTCTCTCCCTTGTCCAGCCGAGATGGAGAGTGATAGAGCAGCTTTGGCGGGCATCTGCTGTCTAGCCAGGGTCAGCCCACCACACCTAGAAACTTCAGATTTTGGAGAAACCTGCAGAGTAATAACCTAAGTCTCAGAACTGCCAGCATGAAGACCTACCGGATTGATGAATTTGCTGTGTAAATTAAGAGGATCTCCACATTGTTCCCATTAAATGAAACTAAAACCAAAAGCCACAGGACCTTTTAGAAGCAACACTTGCCTCCGCACCTCCACATCTCCCCAGCAACCCCAAATCTAATCCACTGCATATTTACCGTAGTTGCTGTGATTTGAGATGAGTCGTCTTCTGTACAAACTGTCGACACAGCCAGGTAAGGCAGCCTGGATGAAGAGGATAATGTCGATGTCTCCATGCCACTGTCCTCATTTAGGGTGGAAAGACCAACCATATGGTGTCCATTCAGTTCACTAGCCTTACTCTGAGCACAGGTCTGCAAAGAGCTGAGCAAAGTGCCATTGCGGAGACAGGTAGTGCTGTGGAAAGTGCTTGTGAGCTTTGACGATTTTTGATCACTCTCATCAGAGTCAAGTTTAGGAAAGGATAGGGATTTGATATTGCTCACTGAAGTGATAGGGGACAGGGACACTTTGGAAGACAAGGACATCTTTTCACAGCTTCCCAACTGTGGTAAAGTGATAAAGCCATTGGGTTTGTGAAGGGGCTTGAAGTCCAACGTGGCCCTTTCTATAGATGCTAGAACTTCCTCGTCTTGCACCACAGACTCAGACCCTCCTTTGGGCAAAGTATTATCTAACAGCTGGGCAACAATTGGCCCAGTAGTACCAACATGAATTTCAAGAATATTTTTTAATTCCTCCTTATCATCAATAGTTTTTAATTCCAGTTTGTCAAATGGGTCTTCTTCACATTCAAAATCAGCTGGGTTGAAGTCTGTTTTTGGACAAGGTGGACTGAGAACCTTTTGCTTCACAGCACTGCTGTTGGCTGGCGTGGGAGTAAGAATATTATTGTGCTGCAGGCTAGCGAGAATGGGGTTAATAGGAGGTGGCATGGCCTCAGGGCAAGGTCCCTCCGAGAACCCCATTTTGTTGTTGTCCTCTGGAGCTGCTTTTGAGTTTGCTAGCGATTCTTCTGCCTTGCGTTCAGCTTCTTTCTGGGCAGCTTCAATTTTTTTGATATCTTCAGCCCACTGGATTGTTTTCTTTTCCAGTGAGAAGTCATACTGACCAGGGGTAGAGGGGAAAGGAGAGAAAAAAAAAATTATAAGGATCATAGCCACTACTTCTAACAGCAACATAAGTAATATAGAGTAAGAGCTACATGAATTACCATGGACAGGCATAACTTTTTTCCACAGCATCTTTTGTAACCTACAGACTGGCAAAACCAGAGGACACCAGAAGTAGTTCATTTTGCCTCTAGCAGCAAAACCTGGCTGCCGTCTGGGTTAGAATATCATACTTTGCCTCCTTCCTACACTTAGTTTCACTTTAGATCTGTTGATCATTCCAAGATAGTTTTGCATCCCTCCCACCTCTCCTCCCAGCAGAACAGACAATAGCAAGGGGAAGTCGAATCCATTACTGGATGGACAATCATACCCAGGTCTGGCACCACTGAACTAACCCCCGCCCACAAGTTCCACAAATCATTCAAGACTACAGCAGAGTGTTTTTGCATCCAAAGACCACTATGATAGTAGTCAGCTCCCACTAAAAGATTCCTAAGGGACTTGGTATCAGAGTTTTACACCCACTGGTTTAAGAGGCATTGGTATTCTTACACCAGTGCCAGTAGCTCACCAGCCAAAAGGGATATACTGGCCACATCGATGACGACAACTACCTGCAGCAACAGATTTTGCTGCAGTTACTGGCATGACAGGCTCCCGCAAGCTTTTCTCATTTAACATCAGCTCTCTCAGGGCCAGCTTAACACAGGAAGACATTTGTAAGCTATTCAGTTTTGTAAGGCATTTTATAAGCTACCAGTTTACTGGCCACTGTAGCGGCCTGGTTGAGAGGACAAAATTCTGAACAGACTAGATCTACCTAAAGCTCTAATATCTTATGAAGAATGAACAGCCTCAAATACTCTTTGAATATTCACAAAATGTTCAGAGAACACAGCCTACAAGCTACATCCAGGGTATAACCTACCTGTGACTCACAAGACTCACCATTACCTTGCCAGGGTAATGGTACATAACCAAACAAGAGTGCTCTTGCCACGGGACTACTAGGTCATACAAATCCCTAGCTCTAAAGAACAACAAGCCAGCAAGGCTTGCTAGGCCTCTACTAGGCTTTTCTGGGACTTGTTATCGAGTTGCGCCACACCCCATCCTACAGTGGGCTCCAGTGAGACCCTGGAAACCTCTCGTCTCAAGTGTATTAACAGTTCTTCCTTCCCTTAGCTCCAAGACTCCAACAGGAGTGATACACAATTTATCGGCAAGGTGCCTTTGAAAAACAACTCACTGGCAGAAGGACTCGGCACTACTCATTACACACTCTTTGCTATTTGAGCAGAGCTGTCAAGTTTTGTGTGAGTGTATATGTATACAGTCATATATGGCCAAAATTGGCCAAAGCTGTATTTTTTTTAGTACTAAAAAATTGGGAACTATTTGTATAAAAATATATGGCTTTGGTCAATTTTGCTTCCCTGCATCTTTTTTTTTTTTTTAACCAGCTCTCACTACAGATGTAAAGAAGTCAAATTGCACTGCAAGAAGCCTATTTTACATAATGACATCATACTATGCAAGACATTACAGTCTGATCAGCATGCTATACTTGAGCCTCAGCTTGGCAGGAAAATGGAGACATAGCACAATCAAGCCAGCAACAGGATGTTAAGAGTCTCCTTTAGCTCCCCCACATCAGCTTAAGTGGGTAGAAATATGTGTAGCAGGACAATCAGGTAATCATTTAATAATTACAATGCAAACGCCATGATGTATGGTAATATACAGGGCAGAAAAAAAAGTAGAACCATCTACAGCAATCTGTGACAGCTGAAGTGAAAACAATTATCAGTTGGCACTGGTCAAGGAAAATCACAGATCCAAATGAGAAAATATAGTTCAGTTAGATTTCCTGTATCACAACCTGCATTTGGAAATTAGATTTTCAACAATTACACTAAAGCAATGGATTTTATGCTGCCAAGAGTTTATGGTAACAGAGACATGCTCCTCAAAGACCTGGAAGCTATCTGTACTGAACTGTAACCTGTTTGCCCTACAGCTGGAAAAGAATTCCCACTGAGAACTGCACAGAAAACAAGAACTGGAAATTTATTTCTTCACCATGCTATTGTAGGAACCCATACAATAAGGTCATAGAAACACTTGTTACCCTCAACCAAGATTCTGCAAGTGTGCTATAGCATGGGTGTATCAGGTCTTACCATTTTTCCTCGTAAAAATGCTACTCAAATTTAGTCAGAGTAACATGTATACCTGTAACTATTACACAAAAACATTGTGGTTTTTTTGAAGTAGATAGACTAAAATAAATGCTATTAGGCTTTTTAAAGTGATAAGAAGCAGAAGCTTTTTGTATGGCCTATCATATTTTTGTCTTTCTATATGCTCTAAAAGATCCTCTGCAACTGCTGCCTGGCATACAAATACGACTCTACAGGACCAACAAGACTAACATTTGAACACATATGCAAACTGTGACTACTTGCAATTTACAGTACCGTATCTTGGGGGCCAGGGGTGAGGGGGAAGAGAGCAGAACAGCAAAACACATCACTTACCTGGGCTTCTCGGACAAGCTGAGAAGAATCAGGCAGGCAGAAACCAATGGGTAATCCAACCTTTGCTGGGGTTTTGAATTTGTCTCCTATCTTAAATGGGACATCATCAAGATAACTGAAAGGCCCTAAGATCAAAAACAGAAATTATATCAAAAAACCTCACAAGTTTAACACATTCAATTAAGACTCACATTTCTGTATTTGGGAGCTATTTTATCTCTGCTGCCCCAACTACACTAGATGACTCAATACAAAGTTGCTTGATCAGAAACACGTTGAATCTGCTTGGACTTCATTGCAGTTTTGGTATTGGTGGGGTTTGGTATTGGTGGGGGTTTTTGTGTGTTTGTTTGTTTTTAATGTTCTAGGCCATAACTATTAAAAAAAAAAACAAAACCAACAAATACACAATATAACAATTGAACAGATTTTGAAGTCAATATACCCAACATCTTAGCTTCCCTTCTGACAAGACTATGCCTACACAACTGGAAGCTGAAGCTCTCCTGAACACTGTATGTCTATTGTGTCTCTGTAATAAGATTCATCACTTTTTGTCATATTCAAAATAGGCTTTAAAATGACACAGCTTTAGAGCAGCTAAGACAAACTGAAATCCAGGTTTTGACATACAATTAGGAAGTAACATTTGGGCAGAAGTGGTCACAAGAGCACAGTGGCCCAAAGTCTAGAAACTCCACTTTAACCAAAACACAGAGAAGTACCTCAAGACTATTTGGCATAGCAATTCTGATTTTCTGAAACATGTCAATCTAACTTAATCACCTGTCTGGTTTGTGATCACTGCAACGAGGGGCCTCAGACCTATTTCATGGTCTTCCATCTGTCCTTTATATTTATGACTTACACGTAGTATTTAAAATGTGTTTCAGGACAGATGTCTTCAGGCATTCTGCAAACTTGTGGGGCAGAATCACTCAGAGATCAAACACCTCCAAGGAGCCAGACTATAAGTTTGTTTTCCTTGAGCTGCTGTGAAGAAGTACTACAACACTCACAACAAAAATTGCACTCAGTTTCTCAATTAACTGAAAGGGGTCTCTTGGATCACTGGCCTAACCCTTTTGGAATTACAGGCAAGGTTTCTGGCTGTGTATAACAATCTGAAGTGTTCCTCTAACACTCATTTGTAACTTCCTTCTGAGTGTTGCAGATCCAAAACAATTTAGTGGCAACATGTAAGATGGTGTTCAGTGACTAACCTCTTGCTGAGTGAGCTGTGACTTGCCATTTTTATCTGACCCATTTTCATACTCGAATGACAGTTTAAGTATTGTTTGTGCTCCTTCACTGTTGACTCATCTACAACAAGGCAGTCACAGGCTCCAAAAGGCTGAGCAGCTTTCAAAAACAGGAACATCCTGTTAATTTGGAGTTAAACATTTAGGTGTTGTCATCACTTGAGCTCTCATACTATGCACCACACTGGCTGGTCCCAGAGTTCTGTTAGGGCACAGGTGGTATTTCCTCCAGCTTTGAAACCATCAGGCTGAATAACCTACATCCCACCTGTACCACCAGGATGAAAAAATGCTCCAGGCAGAATATAATAGTATTTTCACCGATCCTTACTGAGAAGCCCTCATTCAAGCATTACACAGCACAGCATCCAGATGGCACCTCACGGGCCACCAATACCACAATTTGCAACACAGCCACCAAACTGTATTTGAGCTGGCAATTTGAGAACCTGGATATGCCAAAGCGTTTGCTTATGCAAAAATAGCAACTGTGGCAGCCTTTGCACCAAGAGTGTGAAATCATGGCCAGGGCAGAGACAACCCGATCCCCCGACTGCTCAGAGGCTGCTGCTACTATGCCCTGCGCTGGCATGAGTCCTGCTCTAAGCAGGATGACCCAAGCGAAGCAGGATTACCTCTCTGCACCAATCTAAGAGACCAAAATCGCTCAGCGTGCAAACACTTGTCTTATTAGACCTATTGACACAGCAAGTCGTAGATACCTCCCCCTGCACAGCCTTCTTGTTTGCCTGAAATAGATGCTAACCTCAGAGGGTACAAGCACACATTGTGGTATTTACATAGCAATACTCTTTGTTTTGGTACAGTAAAAAACCTAAACACACCTAGACTACATGGGCTGCACTGGCAGCTGCCAGTTTTACCTCAACAGCTAGACTAAGGAATAAAAACCTCATAGTGTCTTCCCTGTATATTGAATTTTTTTTAATAATGACCGCTGCTATAACCTCATCTTGAATACAACACTTCTATAAAACCCGCAAGCACACGTTAAAAAACACATCCAGTGTTTTAGGACATCTGATGGCAAAAAGTCCTTCTGAAGCAAAACATTGATGCACATAGCATTCCTTCTGTTCCAGCCCAATCAGAACAGTACTTGTACAATTCTTGGTCTAGAAACCCAAGAATCCTCCTCTTTTTGTAAATGGATGACCCTTCTGCCTTAATGCACTGATGGGTAGGGGTGCAAATTGTTTTTAATGGCAAATTCTAAAGCAAAAAGCAAAACCTACGTACAGGAAGCATTATGCAAGCCACTGTTTCAATAGTCACATGTTCAAGTGAAGCAATTATTTTTTTTTAAACTGTTATTTAATATGGCTGTTAGCTACTTCATCCTTTCAGCAGTTAAAAGGAAGTTCTGAGAACAGCCTTAGCAAAACTGTACCTGTCAGTCTGATCTCTGACACTGCACACTATATGATATTCCTGGCCCAAGGACCTACTAAGAGCGTAAGATTTCTGACCACTTCAGTGTAAGGCAGAAACCACTGGCCAACTCATAGAAGTGTCCTCAAGTTTGGTAGCAAAATGGAAACATTTTAGATAAAACCATTTACTGCTTATAAATGGGGACACAGGCTGAAACCAAGTGGAACTTAGTTTTTGTGGTCACACAAACCAGATTTAGGTAATTTTCAGAAACTGGAGTTAAAAGCTTGTAAGTTCTATAGTGATAGTGACAATACAACAGCAATATTAAAGTATTGCACTTGGTATAACCCACGCCTTTTGCACAACAGACAAGAGCTGCATTTCTAGATGCACGAATTACTAGAACCTAAGCTTGAACTTCCAATTATTCAAATTACAGGTGAGCATTTGAAGTTACACACTTAGGCATAGTTAAAGGTGTATGCTAATACCCTTCAAGACAGGAAAAGAGTTCCTTCCTCTCCCTCCATACCTTCTTCACCTTCAATCTGAACATGATCCTCAGCAACCTGCTCTAGGTAGCTCTGCTTGAGCAGGGGGTTTGGACATGATGATCTTCAGAGGTCCCTACCAACCTCAGCCATTCTGTGGTTCAACAATAGTCCTCTAACCTCCAGTAAGCAGCTCAACAATAAGTACAAGGAATGCATCAACTATATTGACAGATTTCATCAGCCTGCCAGAGACACTGCGCCAAAGGTAGCTGTGGGGCTAGATGCTTTACAGTAAGCCAAGATTTACTTGGAGGGATTAATTCTTAACAACCCTGATGAAGACTGAAACATTTGCCCTGCTGATTTCTTAAGACATAAGCCAAGGAAGTTGCTCCACTATTGCTCAGAAACAGCACTGTTACAGTGTCACTGCTATCATTAGGAACAGAGGGTACACAAAAGGGTTAACAAGTTAACCAGCCAGCTTACAGCATTTGTTTTGATCTTATTATTTTGAAGCCAGGAGCATGTTCCACCGCACTGTACTCTTTTGAGAAATATTTAAGATAGGTTGAATTCTAGCTACAAGCAGTGTCTTTGCTAGTCTGGTTTAGGAAGCAGAAGAGAAATAAACACAGACTCAAAAGACAAGCAGTTCAGAGTGTTCATAGGGACTATTCACATATACAAGAGAAAAACTGCTGAAGAGCTGGCAGTTATGTAATAAAGAAATTAATTGTCTTGCAGCACAATCACTGGGCCACAGCAAAGGATACCATCTAAAAATTACATTTTAATAGGCCATTTTTATTAATCCTTAACCATGTATTAAGTGAGGTATTTCTTATTCTGTACTTCAGCTTTACACTTGCAAGACTAAATAAAAAGCTCAAGGAAAAATGGAATTCCCCAGGACCCTCTTACCCCTCTTATCCAGGAAGACCAAGCCTGAGTTTCTAAAAGCAAAAGATTTTATAACATGAAAAATCATGTTAGAAATTTCACACGAACCTCCCTGTACTACCTTGAATTATTACTACTTTGAAGAAGTTACATTATGTACAACAAATGTTCCACAGAAATATTAATCCTTCCAAATTACAACTCATTTTCTAAATTATAAGCACATATACAGGCAAATAATTTTAATGATACCAATCATCTGCATGACACTACACATGTCAAATGTAGAAGAAGAAATTCTCTTCTTCATTTGCCTGCTGCACCAGGTTAGTCCAATTCAGGAAAAAATTCACTGCTGAGCAAAAAGCAAGCATAGCTCAATGAGACATTAAAAGCTCCATATTTCGTCCAACTTGTCACTTGACTTCCATACAAAGGAGCTACATATCTAGTGTCCACTTCAGCAAACATCAGATGAGTATCACAACTGCAGCTCAGCTTTGATTTTGAAGGGGGATGTGGGGGAAGGTATTATTCTACCACGAAGGAGTGGGGAACAGTCACAGGCTGAATTTCAGTTTAACCAGAGAACAGGCACAGCATCAGCAAGCAGCTATGCAAGAAGGAAGCCAAGGCACTTCATTCCTAATAAAAAAACTACTCAGAGTCTAAACACATTAGTCTCAATGGACTGTCTAGGCTGGGAATTAGTCAGCAGCAACAGTAGGATTGATCCTGGTGAAAAGACAAGGATACCAAATTTCACTTACCATGAGAGTCGGATCCCAACTTCTTAGAAGCCATTTAGAACCTGAAAAACATTTTAAAACAGCTTTAACAACTTCATGCATGTGGCATAGCATAACTCTCTGCCGTTCTACAGAGTCTTAGCTGTAGATCATGGGACACGTTGCAGACACTTGGTGTTTACCCCACTCCCAAGATAGATAAGCAAACCTATTTTATAGCCTTAAGAATTGACTGAGCAGACAAATAACTTAGCCCAGGGCCTGACAATCTAAATGGCAAAATGAAAACAAAAAAAAACCACCACAGCCGAGAAGCAGACAGGCTGATGAGGAAGGCGGAGAGTTCCACATGACTGTACTCAGAGGCTGCGCTGTCCCAGCCCCACAGAGCACACCCTGCCTCCCCTGGCATTAAAAATAGCCCTTCCTACTGGAAATACCACACTGATCCTCCTCAGTTTAATCCCTGCTACTCTAAAAAGAGATACTATCATATGGGGTACGCAGTCAGTTAGCCAGCGTGGCACTTGTCTAGACACACTGGGTAATGCACAGACACAGGTATACAATAAATGGTACTATTAGGAAGACCTTTTTGTATACACAAAAGGAAACAACACTAACAATAGTCCTCATCCACTGCCCACAGAATTTTACTAACAACTTTTAAAATTTGGATGCAAATCCTACATGGCCAAGCTGTCAAACACAAAAGTGCCTAGCCAGCTTTTAACACAGAGCAGGCCTGTCCTAAGAGCTGTTTTTAAGATAGAATTAGCTGTCTAATTAGCTGTCAGCTAAAACCCTGCTCCAGGATGCTCATGGTGTGTTCAAGAACATAACTTGTTCTTTTCCTAGATTTGAAATACATCACAAGATCTACCTCAAGACACCACAGCATAATTCTTTGAAATTACTGAGTAAGTCCTCCTTTGACATTACACATGACAAAGAATCAGAGTTGCCTTTTCTTTCTGAAGTCCTCCAGCCCATAGGCTGAAATGCCCAACAGCCATCCTTGGAAAAACACGAACTTATCTGGTACGCTCCCACCAGCAGCTGACAGCGCTCACAGCACAACCTGGGAGCAGATCTAACATTCGCATCCATCATTCCTCAATCGAGGTTTAACTCTTCGCCTCACTGTTTCCATCGCAGATTCCAATTGCAAATGTTACCTTAGAGGAAGGGTGTCATAAGGTGAGGACTACACAGACAGTTTAGCTATTCCTCCTGGCAGCTGCTGACATGACTGAGGCTGGGAAAACCCAGTTTCAAGTACTTTCCTGAAGTACCTTTTGCCATGCAAAGGTCTCCTTCAACATTATGTTGAAATCAATAGGTGAACCAATCCTATTGGGTAATGGGAATTCAGCACACAGCTAAAGCCAAAGCTGTACGAAGACGACCACCCTGGTGCAGCCAGACTTCATGAGACACAGAGACCAGACACTAGGCTATGAGGAAGTGAGTCATGCTGGGCAGTTCCAGGTACATCTTGTACATAAAAGCCACGTATCGTTCTGCTCAATGTTTGTCAGGTTCTTCTCAGCACATCTCACCATCTCTCTCAACATTGGCATGATGTCCAGAACCACTCCACTAAGCCAGAGAACTGGTTTTGGCACAAGCCGGTAACTGCTTCTCAGAAGCAAACAAAACATTGTGGCTGTCAAGGGCAAAGCCACAAGACCACCTGGTACAGTTGCATGTCAACTACTCACGCTGAATGGGCTTTACCAGCACCAGTGCTGCAGAGAAGACGACCAGACTGCAGACCACACCCCATGAAATAGGGTGCACCTTTCAGACCCAGATCACACTGTCAGGCAAGCTCCTATGTTGCTAGTTCCTCTGTAAGAGTAGCAATTAAGATGTCAACTTGATTTGTTATTATTGGAAAAGCCAGGCCACATGTGAAATCACACAGTCTTCACATACCTCACCAGTCCCCTGTATGTCACTGGAGACTGCGAGGCACCATCTGCACATGTACTATGACTGCCCATCATCCACTACTATTACAGTGCAGCTGAACTAGGAACAAGGCCTCTACACATCTCCTTTAATTTCTCCGAGTTCATTTTTCTTCTAGTTACTACCTCAGACTGAAAAGCAAGCGCTCCATTTCTACAGGATTTTAAAGCTTCTGATGAGAGGAAGTAATCTCCTCACTTTGGCAACTCAGCTGACAAGGGAGTTTTTTCAATGCAGCACCAGTTACCTACAGGCAATACAGTTTATGCTGTGTGCCTCATTCACCAGAAGCAGATTACTCCAGACTGTACCTACATAACGGACATTGAAAAGAAAACTCAAAGAGATCATTTTTAGAATGATAATTTATATCCCCTCTCCCAGCAGGCTGTTGCAAAGACATACTAAGTTTACCATCTCACATGCTGATCTTAAGTACCTGAACACTGAGTTACAATGACACTATCAATCTGCTCCAGGGACAGTAGCAATGGGTGTGAATCCCACAGAACCAAAGATATGCACATATAGCATCCAGAGAGTTTTGCAGTAGTATATCAATCTGGAGCTGCATAAAGCCTTGGACATGTCCTCAGTGTCAAAATACCCCACATAAGCAGTAAGTATCTTGCTTTTGTTGGCAATCTTGTAGTAAAATCCTAAAGCACACCAGGCACCTGCATTAACTTCAAGGTGCAGTGGGAAAAATGATTCCTCTGCCAACATGCAAGACCTTATTTTAACTACAGAACTAGCTATGGCACATCAATAGCAAGCTAATCATAAAACGCACCATTTCCAGAGAAACAGTCACACTTCAGATTCAGGTAGCATTTGAATTTATAGCACACTAGCTCTTCCTGATACACAGTGAGTATGCATGCACTTCTTAAGATACCATTACTGCAGAAGGCACTGTCAGCAAGCAGCATTGTTAAGCATGGCACACAGTAATGCTAGAAAAGGCTGCCAGCCACATTTCATCACCTCCTTTCCAAAGAAGGTTTAATTAAAATAGTGTCTTCTGACTAATCAGATTTGTTAGGCTATTCAGGGACCACTGTTACAAGCATCCTGCTGTTGCTTTGTTCTGCTGGCTGGGAAAAAAAAAAATGTTTGCAGCGAGTTAGAAGGTTACTGGTATTGCTGCTATGCTTCTGGGCCTGGATTGTATTTGCTTAGTCAAAGCTGTTACATTGGGCAGTATACATTTGCTTACCTTTGTTATCACTCTTAGAAATTTAAAGAACTTGCTCCCAAAGCCTTACTCCAAAGCAGATAATGGATGACTACAGGACAAATGGTGCATGGGGGCAAAAATTTTGGTCTTGACTTTGTATGGCACTTTTTAAATTGATAAAGAACATACTGCATGTAAACTTCAACTCATGTCCTGGGCTAGGGAAACAAGATAGTCACATAGTGCAACAAGGTTTTCTTGTAATCACCTACAACGTCTCCTATAAATGTAGACCTCCTTAGCTCCATGACCTCCTTGGTTCTGGCCACCCCTCTGAAGAGGTGGCCTACAAGTACCTAAAAGTTATAAGCTACTTGTCAGCAGCCACTGAAGCAACCAGATGTGAGCTCTGTGAACATACAGATGTGAACATACAGGCAATAGGGTAACATTCTTTAAGCGAGCTAGCCAGAGGAACACAGTATAGCAGAGCGCAGGATGAGGGCAGAGGACTTCAGAGTGATGAAAGTGGTGGTGGGGGGACACAGCAGTAAAACAACAACAAAGTAACAACACAATGATGTAGTTAACAGAAGTGACAAGACAAAACTGATGACAGAAACAACTGGCACAGAGAGAGATGACAAGCTAGAAAGGCTTGAACAGACAGCATAGAGATGACCAAGACAGTCCACCTGGCACGTCACCACTTAAACCTGAACAAGTACTTAGCTATGCCGCCAGACAACAAGGAGAACACAGAGAAGTGTGACTTGGTACAGTCAAGCAATACCAAAGGGACAGACTCATCAACAGATGAGAAAAAACAATTACTACCAAGAATGACTCACAGGGAGCTGCTGAGAAGTTGGGGTGTTTTTAAATTATTATTTCCATGTTCCTCCTATGGGTGTTTTCCCTGAAGTTTACATCTATATTCCTTTTCTTCTGAAAGAGCTCTGACTGGTCAAGTTCGAAGCATCCTATCACTAATAGTACCTGGAACAGCTTTCTCAGTGATAACTCAAGCCAATTTAATTATTTGGGGGGGGGGGG